CCTAGCCTCGGGTTCTAAACCTTTCAGAACCTTGTAACTTGGTGTCTTAGGTTCTAGTTTCTTCAAAACCTTTGACTTTGAAGTCTCAAGTTCTGATTCTTTTAGAACTTTTAACTTAAGAATCATTGGTTTTGATTTCTTCAAAACTTTTGACCTTGGGGTCTCATGTTCTAATTTCTTCATAACCTTTGACTTTATAGTTATAGGTTCTGATTGGTTAAAACCTTAGCATTAGTAACAGGTACAAAATGATAGTACATCCCTTTTTTAGCAGAGCTTGAAGAAGAAGAGCCTGAGACAATGTATACATACAGTTTATGACAAGTAACATATTTTGGGAACAAATGGCAGACACGATGTCAGAGACATTGTATACTAGGAAGTAAGAACTAGTTACACAACCAAGTTATAAAAGATTAACTTATACAAGATGATGAAACAAAAAAGTAATAAATAACACAAAGAATTGTTAACCTAGTTCATTGAAATCACACCTACGTCTATAAGGAACTCTACCTAAGAAAGAAAATTCACACTCCTACGGAAAATGCATTTAACAACGGTTGGGAAAAATATATAATAACGCGGGCCCAGGCGCTGTTATGTAGAGTGTCGTTGTATATATGATACTTATAATGACGATCCAATAATCGTTGTAATAAACTGGAAAGCGCACGCCCTATCACAATAATTATAATATATAACCATTGTAATAAATTGGTTAGTGCAAGAGATATTATAACAGTTATGGTATATAATCGTTGTTAAATTTTCTGCTGAATTAACAAATAATATCCTACTTTTATAATTAATCTTATTTTTTAACCTATATTATTGTTCACCATATCACAACAAAAAATACAACTCACATTTGTGATAAAATTATCATAATAACATTAATTGTATCATATTCATAATATCAAATAATTGTATCATATTCAATACACCATAACATCACCAAATGAATCTAAGGTAACTAATACATCAACCATTACACCATCAGTCAATATACAAATCTAATCAACTATAACATATTTCATCATTGTTGTTACAACAAATGCAATGAACACCACAAATAAAAAAAATCCAGGTAATCTTCAACTGTTTCTTCATCTTCACCTTCAACTTCAATTCGTCCTCTTTAGGTTTGTATGTGTTAACCATCTCCTTCTTCTCATTCAAGTTCTTTACCAGTGAAGAAATTATATATTTTTCCCTAGGATCCATCTCCTCATCCAACCAAGAAAAGTGAGAGCATTTTTTGTATCCTTGAATCTTATACATCCCACAGCCAAAGAAACGACAACCTGGGTTCAAATTGGTCCATGCTGTCATCAACGGAGCGTCAAGACCACACTTGCATACGTAACTTGAATGACTTGAGGACCTGCTTCCATGGCTACAACCGTACTGATGAGACATTTTAATGGAAGGATTTTATGGAAACTTGAAGAAATTGGGTGAGAAGACAAACAACGACTAGGGGAAAAGAAGACGAAAAACAATTCAAAAGGATCAAGAACGTAAGATATAATAAACAAAAACAACAACATTAATGTTTCAAGATACACCTTTAATGTCGAACAAATTACGAAGTTCATCTAGTTTATGAAGCTATGAAGAAAAAGTACAAAGTGAATGAAATTAACACAATAGCTTCATACTTCTTGTATTTCTCTTCATATCTACACAAACCATATGTATCAACAACACACTAATCAACAACATACAATAACATAAGATATAATGTAATGCTTCAAGATACACCTTTTTTAAAATTAATCGTGGATATCGAACAAGTTATGAAATTCATCTAGTTTATAAAGCTACGAAGAAGAAATATAAGGCGAATAAATTTTACTCAATAGCTTCACATTTTTTGTATTTCTCTTTAGCTACACAAACCATATGTATTTCTCTTGTTAAGGTGGTGAAGACGAATCTGAAAAAATGAGAACCCGTTTTTAACAAGAAATGTAAATGGAATTTAAACATGATTTTAATGAATGAACCTCAAGTTAGCGATTGGTGAAGACGAATCTGAAGACGTATCTGAAGGTTGAAGTATGTTTAAAGAGTGACATGGATGTTACAGTTATGTTATGAGAGAGAAGAGTGAAGCCATGTTAGGATTTTCTTTTTTGATAGAAACAAATGTTATGTACTGAACGATAGATACTTTCACTTATATACTAAAAACTATCACTTTTCATCACGGTTAGAAAGAAAAACCGTGATGCAAATTTCAAATTTTACAATGATTGTATTGTAAAACCATGGTTAAATAACTTCCAAATTTTACAACGGTTGGTTTAATTAACCGTTGTAAAATCATTTACAATTTATTTTTTAAATAATGGACTTAAGTGACACACGCTTAATGTACTATAAAAATAGAAAAAATGTAGTTGTTGGGAATCGAAGCTTGCTACACATCATTTATCACTACGATTTTTTAAGAGAACCGTCATTAAATTACTATTTATAAATCTAGGGCACGAAAATGTTAACCTACTACAACGGTGTATATGAATCCGTTGTAAACCTGATGTTATTGATTGTGCGTTTTGTAGTAGTGTCACTACTTTGAATTAATACATTTAATCTTGAACGTCTCTTTCTAATCCTAGTGACTTTCTATTTTGGACCCCTCTAAATATGAGAATTCCTCTCAATTTATCTCAATCACCAACCCATAGTGATTAACTTCAATAACAACTCTATTGATTGTTGAATTTACAACTCAACTAAGACAAACTAACAACTATGCCAAGTTACTGAACCAATAGTGTGGTGTACACATAACACAACTACTTTGTTCTCAAATTTATAGAATTAGTGTCTTAGAACCAAACTTTACAACTCATAAACCAAACTCTATGCCTTAAGATAAGAATTGAGGCACTATAGTGGTACACAAAAATACCATAAACAAAGACTCAGAATATAAACCTTAACACAATGAATCTTCAAAACATGCACACCTCAAACATGAAGTTTGAATCTTCTTAAATAGCAATGCATTCTAGGATTTTCTCCTTTGAATTTCTAATTTAATTTCGTCCAAAATAATAGCTGAGTCTGTTGGATTTGATTTGCTCCATAGATATCTCCAATAAAAGATATGATTTGTTATATTTTAAATTCAAATTTAAATCATATTTGATGTTCAACAATTGTCAAACAAATCAGGTAAGCATTGCTAAATAATCTACAACATATCTGATTGAATCTTAGTAAATTTTTTTTGCACCAAATAACATCCATCATGGCCTGCTGACCAGGTACATATGTTGCACTACACACATATTGGAACACTGTGTTCCACATGTTATACCGGAATATCCAAATAAACTCTCTTCATATAAATATTCTTTGTAGAGTAAATTTTAGGTTAAATCTGAATCAAAACTACAATAACATCTGTCTATTGCCAAAAATCAGATGTTACAACACACATGTTGGAACATCGTGTTCTACATGTGTCCCTTTTGCACCAAAAACGACTTAAAAATACTCTATGTTATTGTTTTATAATGCAATTAATCCAAAAGGAGTAGCAAATTAGTTAGAGTTTTAGTTAAATCTTTCATCTTTAATTTAGTTAAATCTTTCATCTTTAATTAGACTAAGAACAATAAATTAAACTAACCATATCTCTAATAATAAGAAGTAGTTAAATGGTTTCACTAACTGTATTGACGAGTGTAATGTGTATGTGTATTAGGAAGATCCTAAAGTCCCACATTGGTTGGAGATAGAGTATTGAAATAGTTTATATAGAGTGACACCCCTCATTTTACTAACCGGTTTTGTAAGGTTGTGTTAGGCCAAACTCTAATAATGTGGTTGAGTTTTGGAGAGTTTATGGAAGTTCATAGTTTGTGAGGTTAATATAGACTCTTTGTTGATGACTAATGTTTTTGCCAATAATAAAGACAATAGTTCTATGGGTATAACTTTGGTTGCAAACACTTGTCTTCTTTTATAGATGGATTGAGAGATTGTAGTTAGAGTGATTAATATTTATTAAAGGCTTAAGCCTGCGTCTAATATTTATTAAAGGCTTAAGCCTGCGTCTAATATTTTCGAATGGATCGAGAGATTGTAGTTAAAGTGACTAATATTTGTTAAAGGCTTACTTTTAAGTCCACGTCTAACATTTTCGAAAGTTTGAGTGATCTATACTTAAAAGTCTATTTCATTTGAGTATACGTAAACAAATTATTCTACTAATATTTAAATAGACTAACAAATTACGAAAAATAATTATAGAGAGATTAACAATTTTTCTCTCAAATATAACAAGTTAGTTGATAGTAGTAATTTTTAAATATAATATTTTTTCTCTCAAACATGATAAATTAGTTGATAGTAGTAATTTTTAAATAAACTTATATATCAAAAAAAATGTGTTTGATTATAGTTATTTTCTAACATATATATATATATATATATATATATATATATATATATATATATATATATATATATATATATATTTATTTATTTTATTTTTTCAAGCTTAAAATATTTTTTGATAAAGTAATTTTTATTATTTTATCTCTCAATTTTAAATGAGTTTATTATATTTTACTTTCATTAAATTATAACAATTTTTCTTACTAAATAATTCAAATAGTTTATTGCTTTTAACTAAGAGAAAGCATAATTCCTAATAAACAAAAATAAAGAGCGCCGTCTGTGGGAATCGAACCCACGACCACACGGTTAAATAAAGAGCGCCGTCTGTGGGAATCGAACCCACGACCACACGGTTAAAAGCCGTGCGCTCTACCAGCTGAGCTAAGACGGCTCGTTGATATGTTTTCTTTTTCATCGTATAATTACTTTCTATGAAAAAGGTTTTGAAGTATTCACTACCATATCCAAATCCTTCCACTGTTCTCAGGCTCAGCTAAAACCCAGATAAAACCCCATGTGTTAGATATACAAAGATTCAAAATCATCATCTTAAAACACAGAAAAATAAGCACAAAATGCTTAGCACTTCAATCTTGTTCACGCTTCCCACACAAACTTATTACCCTAACATTTTCCATTCACATTTCCCAAACTCAACTTCCACTCACCAACATCATCTATATCCGAAGCAGAAGCTAAAACCTAAAAAAAATAGATTAATCGTGTTAAGCGATTCCAGTTACGAAGTTGGCGGTGGATTCCCACTCGATGAACTCAATAACCGAAACGGAAACGAAAATTCGGAAGATACAGATACTTCTGCTCAACGAGAAGCACTTCTTAAAGGAGGAGATCAAGTTATCTCCGTTCTTCAGGAAATGATTACTCTCGTAAGTTTTTTCTTAGGGTTTTTCAATGATTTCTATTATCAGAATTTTCATTTCTATTGAGTTTGTTTTATATGTCCATAGTCTGTTTTCAGCTTATTTTTATAAGCTCTTAGCTTATGAAAACGGCTTGTTATGATGGTTTAGATCAGAAATTGCGTGATTGTGTGAATACATGTATAACTTTGTTGTTGCTTTAGTTGGAAGATATGGATATGGACGAAGATTCTGAAAAAGTAGCAGTGGAGATAGCTGCACAAGGAGTTATTGGTAAGAGAGTTGATCAGATGGAATCGGATTTCATGATGGCTCTTGATTACATGATCCAGCTTGCGGAGCAGGATCATGATGATAAGGTGTGATTTTCAAAGTAAACTTTAAAACTTTAGGAATATAGACTATGGATCAAGTGAACCAAAATACCGCTTACTTAGCCTTGTTGAATTGAAGGTTTTAATTAAGTAGATTAAGTTTCAAAGTTTCACCCATTGGAAAACTATTTGATCACCAATATATCTATTTTGGCTTTAGAAATTTATTTAAGGATTATTAACTAATGCTAATAGTTAGTAAGAAACTTAGATGAAATTAATTCCTATGGTTGGTCATTCCTACTATTTTGTATCAAGAGAAGGATAGTTGTACTTATGGTTGATCATCAATTCCTCCCTGTCCTTTCAATTTTTACTTGATTGCTGTTATTAGGTAAGAAGAGTCCTTTAAATGATGGCATGCCATAATTTATGTTTTGTTGAGCAAACAAACTGTCATAAAGTTGTGGCTGGGAATTAAATATGAATATATTTCATGCAGCGCAAATCACTGTTGGAAGTTATCAAAGAGACAGTATTATCACATCTAAATAAAAAATGCCCACCCCAGGTAAAGAACTTCTTTGAGTCACTTCTTGAAGACTTTTCTGATCGGTTGTGAGTTGTATACCAACGTGTGCTTCTCCCTTCATCTTTTAGGTTCAAGTAGTTGGTCTTCTATGTAGAACTCCTAAAAAGGAAAGCAGATATGAATTGTTACGCCGAGTAGCAGCTGGTGGCGGTGCATTTAAAGGCGAGAATGACTTGAAGATTCATATCCCAGGGGCAAATCTAAATGACATTGCTAACCAAGCTGATGATTTATTGGAGGTATTGATAGAAACTTCAAGTCTTATATGGGTTACTAGGTTCTTCATTCAATTATTTAATCTTTAAATTGGCTTGTACTAATATTTCTTTCAAGTTCTTTAGAGGTTCTCAATATTGGAGGGCTCACTTATATTTTATACTTTTTGTTTTCTATCTATTTCTTTTTCTTCGAAAAATTATTTCCATGTCTTAAATAGAAATATCTTTCTTTTCTTGTTTATTCTAACAGAAGCTTTCTGAAATATTGGGCCGCTTTTCTTATTTTTTGAGTTGAGTGATAAAGATCCGTTCTATTTGAAGTTTTGAGCAAGGAAACCACATGGATTATAGACACTTTTTGGCTAATTGTTTGGCGTTGAATTTTATGTTTGCAGACAATGGAAACTCGTCCTGTTGTGCCTGATCGAAAACTGCTTGCAAGGCTTGTTTTGATTAGAGAAGAAGCTCGTGATATGATGGGAGGGGGGATTTTGGATGAAAGAAATGATCGTGGATTTTCTACTCTACCTCAGTCTGAGGTGCATTGATGTGACGTTTCCATATTAGATTTAGTTTTACACAATTTTATTGTCTGTGTCATTAGGGCTTGGAAATTTTCACTAGATATGTAGAGATCTAAAAGTGAACTTTGTGGTTAGTCATTGTCGAAAATATGCTTCTGGCATCGTTAAAACATAAAACTGTTGGCATTGCAGGTGAATTTCTTAACCAAATTGGTGGCTTTAAAACCTGGGAAAGTTGTTCTTGATATGATAAGAAATGTGATGCAAGGAAAAGATGAAGGTGCAGACAACTCTGGCAAGAACGATGAAGATGATTGGGTTCCAACAGGAATAGCTGGAAGGGTGAGTTAAATTGGATGTATGTGTATTATTTAACATGTGAATGTGTTTTACGTGCATTCAGTTCAAGTTGTAACATATTTAATTTGTATTTCATAATATCCAGCCAAGTGTGACAGGACAGAGGCCACTTCCGGTACGCCCAGGCATGTTTCTGGAAACAGTCTCTAAGGTAATGATATGTCATATTTTTTATGTTGATTGGTTGTCTTTGAAGCAATGTAGCCTGAGAATTCCATGGAATGGAAAGATATTTGGTTCAGTCAACATTTTCACTCTATTGAGAATCCAAACTGATATAATTTGATAACTTTTTCCTATGCTTGTTTCTTGATATGCAATCTGATTATTACTTAGATTTGAATGATCTTCTTTTGCTTGCATTTGCACTTCCAGTTGATATTCTATGTTTGTCATGTCAGGTCTTGTCTGGTATATATGCTGGAAGTGACTCTGGTATCACTGCGCAACATCTGGAATGGGTAAATTCTTTCTCACTTCACCAAATCCGTAATTATTTCTATTTTCTAAATCATGTGCTGTGTGTGCACATTAGCCCATTGGAAAGACATGTGCCATCCTTTCTATCATAAATATATATTTCTATTCTGGACAGGCTTTAAAATTTTCATGTTTTCTCTGTATTTTTCATTTGAAATTTCATAACCGATCTTTAATTAACCCGTTAAAGGTTACTAAGTGCTAAAAGTACTACATGTCTCCAGAGGAAAATGCGGGTTTAACAAATTCGATAATGAAACTGAGTTTGGCATATGAGCATACACTCACGGTATTTTAAACTGGTGATCTGCTGAATGATCTGTAACTTTTGTTCCCTTCCTTTGCTTGCAGGTTCATCAAAAGACACTTCAAGTCCTTCAGGAGATAGCATTTAACTAGTTCAATCTCTATCTCTTCCCATAATCCTATTTTTTTATGGTGAAGTATGACTCAATGTTGTTACTCTCTGCCACATAGAAGACATGGTAGGCTGTTTATAGGGATAGCTTTACAGATAATGTCATATTTTTGAACCTTTACAAAGTGATGTAAATTTACTACAATACTGTGAGGAAAAATCTACTACTTATTTGTCTAAAAAAAATTTATACTAAATGGAGACGATAATGAGATTTCTACTCCAATGTTATTATAAAGAACGAATTTCAAGTATTTGATTGTTAAATCTTATAAATTAAAGATTCGGGAATAGTTTTTATCGTTCAATAAAATTCCTCCGTAAAGAAAAAAAAGTATCTGTAAAATTGCCTCAAGGAAAACAATTATTTACACCAATTAATTCTCAAATAATCAACATTTTTGCACTTATTGTCCCTAAGCCTTTCAAATAAGATCTACATTCTCCTTTGACTAAGACATTTATGAACTACTCCTCGAAAAAGAAAAAAAATGGATCTTTATGAACTACGCACTAACAGAATCTGACTACACAAATTTCTTCTAAAGATCTACAAGAAAACGTCTTCTAGTTATTTGCAGCGAAACTCATACAAATTGGTGGTCGAACTTCAAACCAAGCAAGAACAGCCGAAGGAAGAATCGATATCCCATCTCCACAAATCAAACCAGAAGCAACAGCTGGAACCATCAAATCTGCTTCCTTTCTTTTCAATTTACTCCAAACAAACACAACTAAACTTCCCACACACATGTCAACTGCGAAGTAAGCACCAACAACAAAAGGCACAGCCATTGCCATAGGAAGTGGGACCCATTTCCCAATACTTTTAGGGTTCCAATCTCTTACCAAGTTAACCAACACAGCAAATGCAAAAAACCCATAACAGAATTCCAAGCAATGGTTTGGTAGTGCTGAAAAGCCTTGAACACCAAGAATTGCCATGTTTCTATAGATGATAGCATAAGGTGCTTTGTATTCACCATCAGGGTCTCCAACATCAAAAGAATGGTAGAAAAGAAAGAATGTGAGAGGCGCTACAACACAACCTATTGCTGTACCGATTGCTTGTGTTACAAGCATTGATCTCGGTGAAGTTAAAGTTAAATGACCGGTCTTCATATCTTGCATTAAATCAGATGAAGTTGAAGCAAGTGATTTTATTAGTCCACATGCTACAAGTCCAGCTACAACACCATCACTTTTCCCTCCTAAGGCTGCAAGAACGAAAAGTGCTACTTTTCCGTAATTATAAGCCATGTTCATGTCAGTTAAGCCAGTACCATAAGCATTGCAGAAGCCAAGAATTGGTGCTAGGAGATAAGCTATCACCACAAAGTACCACTTCACTTGATGGAATATTAAAGGGATAACATTGATGGAGATTACGGTGAGTACCACATAGCCTGCACATGCTAACCATATTGGAACACTTTCTTTTATAAAGAATTCATCACGGGTAAGATCGTCTGGAGTCTTGTTCTGGTCATCATCTGTAACGGAAGCTGTAGTGGAAATAAATAAATATTAGATTTAGTGTTGTCAAATAGCGGTTATAGTGTAGCATAATATAACAAATTACTCTTGTTCTATAATATGGAGTCATTCTTCTCCCTACATCTCAGTTTTATCATTTGTATATGGAAGAAAACCCAAAACCCACCATAAGAACACCATAATGCCACCATCCTTCACGAACTTGCCACAACGGTTGTGAAAAAGTCTGTCACCACAATCCGCCATGGCCTATACGTGACAACACTGCCTAAACTTGAAAACTACGCAAACCCACAAACAGCAAAAAGTGATAATAGGACATTTATTTACCTGTTCTGCGATTCCTCCTTTTCACGCAAGCTTGAAAATTTAAGGCACTAAAATATATAACTTTGATAAAATTGTAGAGTCCGTCACCAAGGATTAGTGCAATGGAAATAAAAACCTGCATCATGAAAATAAAAAGAAAGTTAAAGCCTAAAGTGAAACAAAAAAAATGTAAACCCAAATTTCATTCGTTGTTGATTCAAGACCTTATAACCATTAAGACTCTTCATGCTACTTTCTGGTAAACTTTCAGGGAACCAATTTCCTTTTAGAACTCTGATCAGTGGCCACATAATGCCCCATGAAACTACAGCTCCAAAAAGCAATGATAAATTGACAAGATGTGAACAAATCATTCCTGTCCCAACATACGTCATGCTGAAATCAAAGTAAAATCTGCAAAAAATCCAACATTCAAATCAATTACAGTCGACAAATGTTTCATTCTTCTGATGCATAAAACTAAAAAAGAGTCATAGCAGTTGAAGTAAAAGCACACACGTGTTTTTCCATGCTTTCAACCCGAAAGTAGGAAACTGAGCGAATCCGCATTGGTCTCCACCAGCATAGAACCATTGGAAGAAAGACCAAAGCAAACTGAATGAGAAGAACCGCATGAAACCCTTAACCTGCTTCCTGTGAAAAATGCCAAACAATTTTTTATACATTCTCATCTTGAAATTACAAATATAGAGAACTAGTACCATAACTAGTTTTGTAGTCATACTTGGCCATGACATTTCCTTTAGGAGTATGGAATCCATTAATAAGAACACCCGTTGCAGTTCCAGTTGGATAAGGTAATTTAGCATCTATTATCATCATCTGTTAAATAAACATAGCAAACAACGTTCAAGTTACTCTACATTAATATAGAGTTATAGAGCCTATTTGACAACAATGTTTGACAGCAGAAAATCCGGATTCATTCATACGTAATACCTTTCGAAAAGGAATTAATGCTGTTAGCCCAACAAAGTAAGTAACAAAGAGAAAACCAGTCATCCAGCCAATTCCAGGCTCCTTGGTGTCAGGAGTATTCCCTGGTGTACTAGCCCCTCCTACTCGCTCATATGTCTTCCGATTCAAACCCAAGAGGTAAGACCCAAAACCACCTACATATAAACAAGTAAAATTCACAAAACTGTAAACAGAAACATATTCAATTTCAAAAGCAAAAAAAAAATCATAATAATGACCTCCATAAGAAGCACTGTAGCATGCAACAGCACAAGTCTGAATAATGGTATTCTCCTGTCTAGTGAAAGGTGTTGAAACAATATTTGCTTTCTCAAGAATCTTAGTCCAAAGTTTAATGAACACAAAACCAAGAAGTGCAACTGAAACATTAAGATTAGGGACTAAACCAGTTGTGAGATTCAGCTTCAACACAATGACACTATAAATCAAGCCAATAAAGACGCTAGTTATCAGTCCTCTAACTGTAATCTGTTGTGTCCACGGTGCTATTCCACTTGGATCTTCTAAATCAACTCCAGCTTTTTCCACGTCTTCTCTCTCCAAATTTTCAATCTCTCTGAGTTCTCTGAGTTCTTGTTCTTCATTGCTTACATTTCCCATCGGATTATACTCAAACCCTTTGCTCCTTATAAATGTATCAATCTTCAAATCTCTATCGAAAGTATCATTTCGTCAAACACAATGTAGGTTGAAAAAAACAACAAAAAACCATCAAAGATCATGAATTTCGAAACCTAACAGGTATTAAAACATCATCGTGCGTACCTTATCAGCAATGAAGACAAGAGAAGAGATTGATGAAGAAGGTGAGTGAGATAAGAATCTCAAAAACCCACCAAAGACTGATCAAATATATATGAATCAATTTGAAAAGTGAGATTACACGATCAAATTAAAGATATTTGCAGTACATCGCAAAAAAGTACATTGGAAAATTAAACAGCACAATTGTGCACTCTGCGTTTAATGTCGTACATTTAGTAAAAGTAGTTGTGTTGTGCCGTACTGCAAAATTGTCAAAGGAAAATAATAATAATAAGAAGAAGAAAAATAAAAAGAATTATTATTAGTGTAATTTGTACTACACGTGCTTCAAAAAATATATATTGTACTACACTACCAAACCAATTCATGCTATTTTTTATTTATTTAATAAAAGTGGTCTATGAATTTGGATGTACGAGAAAGAGAGAGAATGTATTTGGCACCTGTTTTTGTTTTGTTTCGCGTGGGTTCCATCTGGTGGAGTAAGGTTTACACTAAATTTGGTACTACTATTTGTTGCGTATGGCTTTCAATATTGCAATATTTTTTCCTTTTGTAGAAAATAATAAATCTTTCACGAGAATGGAGAGAGACTTGTAAATCGTCAACTAGTCATTTATTCACATAAAACAATAAAAAAAGTAGTAGTTCAAGATATGAAAATTTAGTTTTCTAATGTCATAATTATTTTTTTGAAATGATATATTGTTTTGTTTATTGAGTAAAAAATCTTTTAATAATAACATAACTTTTTATATTATAGTGTAACACATTTTTTTTTTAGTTTAGAAAGATAAATTTTGTAAACTGCATATTCTTCGTAACGATAATTTGTTTTTGTCTAGTATATTGAAGACCGTAATATATATTGTATTGGTAAAAAAGTACATGCGTGTTCCCCTTGTAAGGATAGGGAGACTCGGAGACCTTAGTAGGTTTATGATAATTGTGGGTGATAATACAATTCAATAATAACAGTAAAAGACAATCGGAAGTGGATTAATCTAACAACATCACACAACAAATACAACAACATAGGCATATTAAGTATTCTCATCCACACTACATAACATCCAGGAAATCACCAAATGCAACTCAAATGCAATGCTTCCAACAACTGACTCAACATTCATGTGGTACCAACTTATGAACACATAGGTTCATTTCACTCCATGATCCCCACCGTAGGATCACTTTCCTCTTGGAACCGGAGCACACAATAATCGCTACCATCACCATAGGTAACACTCCACTAATCTCCCATAATAGAAATTAACTACTCACACCTGATCCATCACAACGGGATGAGGCTCACCAAAACTTGTTACCATCACCACAAGTAACGCTTCACTAATCCCCCATAATAAGAATTAGCTACTTGCACCCGATCCATCACCATAGGATCGAGACCACACCATAATTAGAACTAAAGTTCCAATAACATGGATGCATGGACTCTCAACATGCAACAACAACACATACACATTAGCCCCTTTTCTGACTTGTATGCCACCAACAACATAATCACTATCAAAATAACATGCATATATATGAACATACAACATCATTAACAACATCCTCATAACATCATACACCATACACAAAATTAATTAATATTACTACAACCAACAACAACATCAATTCAACAACTCATATATGCAAACTCATAAACATACAATCTTGTAACAACAACACATGATTCTCACAACTTGATAGTCATGTTCCACACCACATCAACATCAAAGCCACATCATTAACACATTAACAACATTATCATGACGACATCAACATATCAACATCGTTATCAAAACAATTCATTTATTCATCAATCGAACCTATAAACAACCAACTTCACAAATATAGTAGACATAAGAATAATATATAAACCTTTCACCTATCACTATTATGCTATGGTACCACTACGCCAGAAATGAGTTTTAGCAGCGCACCCTTTAGCAGCGCTTCTTAAAAAGCGCTGCTAAAGGGTGGGTAAAAAAAAAAGAAAAAAAATTTCCCACCTAAGACAACGCTTTTTAAAAAGCGCTGCTAAAGGGGTGGCCTAAGAAAGCGCTTTTAAAAAGCGCTGCTAAAGGGGGACCTAAGAAAGCGCTTTTAAAAAGCGCTGCTAAAGATGTCCCCCTTTAGCAGCGCTTATTCTATAAAGCGCTGCTATATGGCATTGCTAAGGCACCCTAAGAAAGCGCTTTTAAAAGCGCTGCTAAAGACATTTGAAAGCGCTGCTAAAGGGGGACCTAGAGGGGGACATAAGAAAGCGCTTTAAAAAAGCGCTGCTAAAGGGGGCCCTGTAGCAGCGCTTTTTCTATAAAGCGCTGCTATATGGCATTGCTAAGGCACCCTAAGAAAGCGCTTTTAAAAGCGCTGCTAAAGGCCATTAAAAGCACTGCTATAGGTATTAGTATTATAATTTTTAAATACCCTCCATAATTTTAAGAGAAACAGAACAGTCGCATACATTTCTTTTCTTCTGTCTTTCTCCTCTGGCGAACGAACTTGCCCTATTCAAGTGCCGTCATCCGCCGTCCGACCGTCGCCCGCCGTCCGTTCACCGTCCGTTCTCCGTCCGTTTTCGAGTGCATCCGTCCGTCTGCATTGCATTTCCACCATTGTTAAGGTATGTGACAATTTCAAGGGATTTTCTTGTTTTTTTTTCTTTTCACCATTGTTGGTATTTGAAGACATTAAAGGTTTTGAAGGTTTTTGTTAATACTGTTATCTAAATATTGATGGTTTTTCTTTTCACTATTGTTGGTATTTGATGGTTTTTCTAAATATTTGTTTTCACCATTGTTGGTATATTATTGTTTTTGTTGTTGGTATACTATTGTTTTTGTTATCTAAATATTGATGGTTTTTCTTTTCACCATTGTTGGTATACTATTGTTTTTGTTGTTGTGTAGATATGTTTCTTTTGAGGACATGCAAGTAAATTTTAGTGTTGATAACGTATACTGTTGTTGAGTAATTATTTTTGTTGTTGCGTTCAAGTATGATACGTATATTGTTGTTTTGTATTGAAGGTTTGAGGACATGCATGCAAGTAAATTTTAGTGTTGTTGTTGTGTAAAAATGACTTATTGAAGGTTTAGTGAAGGTTTTATATGTTGATATGTTATTATGTTATTATGATGGATTTCTCAATGTTTATATGATATATATGTTATTATGGTTTTATATGTTTAGTTAGGATTTCTCAATGTTTAGTAAGGGCGTCATTTTGGTTTAAGGATTATCTAGTAATTTTAATATGATTTGTTTTGGTGGATTATCTAGTATTTTTAATATGATTTGTCTTGGTTAATTATTAATATGATTTTAATAAAATTTATATTTTGTCTGCTATAGGGGTTACCTGTGAAGAGCAAAGCTGTGATCGTTTCCAAGCATCCTATTGCGTAGCATTCTTAGAAGTTAGTGATTTCCTTACAGGTATTCTCTGTTTTGTTTAACTTTTATAGTTTAGTGTAGATTACTCAATTAGTATGGATAAAAAATGGATGTCTGGTAATCGATTGTCAAAAGAGTACGAGAATGGGGTATCGAAGTTCGTTAAGCTTGCTGTTGAACACGCCAAAGACCCCAGTAGGATCACATGTCCTTGCTTAGGATGCTGTTATGGGCGTCGAGTTGACGCCGTTCAGTTGAAATCTCATTTAATGAGACATGGAATTGACCGAAGTTACACATGTTGGACATTACATGGTGAGATAAGTAACGAGAATGTTGAACCCCGGAATAATACGATATGTGCTTCAAAGGACAATGGCAGAGATACATATGATTGTGATCGAGTCGAAGAGATTGCAGAAGCACTTGAAGAAGATCTTCAAGATTGTCCCAAGATGTTTAAGAGGTTGGTAAGCGATGCAGAGAAACCGTTGTATAAAGGTTGCACTACTTTCACAAGATTGTCCGCGGTATTAAAGTTGTACAATTTAAAGGCGGGTAATGGATGGTCGGATAAAAGTTTCACAGAGTTGTTAGCCCTACTTCAAGAGATGCTTCCGGAGGATAATGTTCTTCCCAATCGAACCTATGAAGCTAAAAAAATGTTATGCTCTATTGGCATGAGCTATGATAAGATACATGCTTGTCCAAATGATTGCATTTTGTTTCGAAATGAATATGCATCATTAAACGAGTGTCCTAAATGCGGTGTATCTCGGTATAAGAAAAAATTGTCACCAGCAAAAGTATTATGGTATTTTCCTATAATTCCGAGATTCAGACGCATGTTTCGTAGTGAAACAGATGCAAAACACCTGACTTGGCATGCAGATGATAGAATTGTAGATGGGAAGTATCGACATCCGGTAGATTCACCACAGTGGATGAAAATTGATAATGATTATCCTGATTTTGGAGAAGAAGCTAGAAACCTTCGCTTGGCATTATCGACTGATGGAATGAATCCGCATTGTCTGCAGAGTATCTCACATTCTATCTGGCCTGTAATTATTATGATTTATAACCTACCTCCATGGCTATGTATGAAGCGTAAGTACATGATGTTATCTATGTTAATTTTTGGCCCTAAACAACCAGGGAATGACATAGACGTATACCTGACACCTCTAATCGAAGACTTAAAGAGTTTGTGGGAGAACGGTGTGGAGGTTTATGATGGATATAGGAAAGAAAGTTTCAATTTGAGGGCGATGGTGTTTGGCACAATTAATGATTTCCCAGCATACGGAAATCTATCTGGGTATAGCATTAAAGGTCAATGTGCGTGTCCTATCTGTGAAGAAAATACAGATTGGACGCGGTTGGAATTTGGTCAGAAGAATGTCTTTCTTAGTTATCGTAGATTCTTA